CCCCCGGCCACCGCAGCCTCGACCTGCTGGGCTCCGGCGATCTTCCGCCTCGGCCTTCCGAGTAGCTGGAACTACAGGTGCGTGCTACCACGCCAGGCTGATTTTGATTTATTGTAGAGATGGGGGTCTTGCCCAGTTGCCCAGGCGGGTCTCGAACCCGCGGGCTCAGGCAATCCACTCACGTCAGCCTCCCAAAGGCGCAGGATTACAGGCTGAGCCACCGAGCCCGGCTTATGCTGTGTTATTTAAAAGGGTTTTTTCCTTGATATTTTGATTTCCTGCATGTTTCCGTGACTTCTTAAAAGTCCTTCTTTAGATTACCCACCTGAATAGAAAGTAAAGGGAGAATCAATGCACGCAAGTGCTTCCCTCTCTTCTTAGAGCAAATCAAAACTAAACCAGGCTCGTCAGATTTTTTTTAATTTAAAAAATTACATAAGCAAAAACCATACCAACACTAATTATAGGTAGAGTAGAAAATGAAGTAAATAATTATAGGTAGAGTAGAAAATGAAGTAAATTAAAAATAATCTATAAGCTCACATTTTTGGTGTATATCTATGTGTTAGTGTGTATTTATGCAAACATATATGTGCATATACATATATATTTTTAAAAGTAATTATATGATTGTATCATACAAACTTTCTCAACTTGATTTTCTCATTCAAATACAGTCAGACATATGAAACATTGTTCTTTTAATTATTTAATTTTTACTTTATAAGACTATCCATCTAGCTCAGAGAAAAAAAAAAGTCTTTAAAATAATATATGCTGCCGGGCACGGTGACTCAAGCCTGCAATCCCAGCACTTTGGGAAGCCGAGGCGAGAGGACTGCCTAAGCTCAGGGGTTCGAGACCAGCCTGGGCAATTTGGTGAGCCCCCCCCCCCCATCCCTACAATAAATCAAAAAATTAGCTGGGTGTGGTGGTGTGCGTTTGTAGTTCCAGCTACTTGGAGGCTGAGGTGGAAGGATCACCTGAGCCCAGGAGATGGGAGGCTGCGGTGGCCGTGAGCATACCCCTGCACTCCAGTCTGGACGACAGAATGAGACTCCAACTCAAATAATAATAATAATATAGGCCTAGTAATTCTTCCTGAGTGTAGTCTACTTTGAGCAAAACTGTTATGAATAATATTAGTGACTAATATGCTACAATACACATTTTGAAAGCATTTATTAGAGACCAGTGTATTACACGTAACATGACATAGTGGATAAGATTCATGTACAGTATTCAAATCTCAGAGTTGGCTCTTAGTAACTGTGAGGGCTTAGGTAAGTCACTTAACTGCTTTGTGACTCGGTTTTCTAATCAGTAAAATGGGGACAATGGTAGTACCTATTTCATAGTGGTGTGGAGGGATTGTGTGACTTAAGATAAATGCCTGAGGGAGGGGAACCTAGGGACTAAAAAGGGCTTAACAGAAACATCAACCAAACACAATATATATGGACCATGAAACTTGTCCATCAACTACAATATGTGGACCTTTTGGGGGACCCTGATTAGAATAAAGCAACTTGGTCAAGCGCCGTGGCGCCCGCCTATAATCCCAGCACTTTGGAAGGCCGAAATGAGGGGATTGCCTGAGCCCTTGTGTTCGAGAACAGCCTGGGCAACTTAGTGAGACCTCATCTCTACAATAAATCAAAAAACTACCCGGACATGGTAGTTCCGGCTACTTGGAAGGCTGAGGTGGAAGGATCGCTGGAGCCGGCAGGTAGATGCTGGGATGGCTGTGAGCATGCCACTGCACTCCAGCCTGGGCAACAGAGTAAGACTCCAACTTAAAAATAAAAAATAAAAAAAGCCGGGCTCGGTGGCTCAGCCTGTAATTCCGCACCTTGGGAGGCTGAGGTGAGTGAACTGCCTGAGCCCACGG